AAACAAAATGCCTGAACTGAGTTTAAAGCTTCATAACTTTTAAATTCGAAAATATAAATTTAAAAATTTTTGCGTTAACAATTATGTCATTATACACGCTCAGATACAGAATATGAAAATTACGATCATTCGTAAATGAATTCGGAAAGATGTACCAAAATAAAGTGAATCACTCTAAAAAAATGGTGGTGAGCTTTTTAACGATAGACAATAGCAAATCAACTGTATATCATATTTTGAAGTTTTAAATATCAGTATAGATAAAGGATGTTTAGGAAGTGAACCATATTCACTTCTTACTTGTGCTAGAATATAATAAAAATTGATGCGTATAATTTAAAAAAAAATAGAGAAAGGTAAATTTTCTTAATATTGGCCCTATAGGGAATATTACTGGAACCTAGATCATTTAAGCTATGAAAACTCGGAGTTTTCATCGCTTAGATAAGCTGGTATACAGCAATATCTTTTGATGAAATTCGTCAGTTAGACAAAAGGTCAGATAAACGATTTCTAGCGAAGTTTGAACAAGCAACTGTTTATAGTTTAGCCGCGAAAGAAAACATTTTTTACATATTTTTACAAAATTGATTTCCAAAAAATCAAGTTTTTGTATCACCTGATAAATGTTTGAATTCTAAATTAAGTATTTGTTTATTTTCTTTCATAACTCATCGAATAAAACCGGTTCCTAGCTTAAAATTAAAAAAATTAATTTAAATATTATATATTATGCTAGAATTTAATAGTTTTTCTAACTATAATAAAGCATACAGTAATTTAACATATATTATTTATTTAAACACTGGTTTTCTGCTGAAATTCATTTTATTTGGCAAACGGTTTGAACCTATTGAATGGGCCAACGTCAGGCTACATTTTTGTAGGAACATTTTTATCGTTAAATATCGTTCCAAAATATAATACGAAAATAAAATAAAAAAGCAACAAAGTTTAAATATTTGAAAGTAGAGCGAATACAACTGAAAATTAACGTAAATAGTAAATAACAGTTAAACGCAAAATAAATAACACAAAAATATATAATAAAAATAAGGCAATTAGAAGTTTTTTCCAAACTTATTATGTACAATGTATCTCCATGCTGCTACTAAGCTGTTAGCATTTCTTGCAATAATGCATTTATATTTAAACCTGCTTTTATATATTTCAAGCTTTTCAGCGTTAAGAGCTATTGATGGGGAGTGTGTATAGTTAAAAACGTTTGTTTTTTCACATTTTAGTTTAGAGCCATTAGTTCGTGTTATCTTGGACAGTACTGTGGTGTTCGCAATATAAAAAAGCTCTTCTGGTCAATGCCCGCTAGTTTGTATTGAAAACGATAATTTGAATTAAATGGGATATACAGTCGGCTGTGTGTTGGCTTGATGTTCGATTATTTTTCAGTTATTAAATTCTATGTTTATATGTACAAAATGTAGCTGCAGTAAGTTTTTTGTTCTGTCTGTAATGTCAGCCCATTTTTTACTGTTAAACTTATCAATAAATTCAGTGATGCCTTTGTTATTCTTCAAAATTATACATACATCATCTACATATCTTTTAAAATATATTAATATCTGCTTACAAGTTATTCAGAATATTTTTTTTCAGTTTTCGAAACACCATTTCACATAACAATCGTAATACGTTGCCACCATAGAAACTTTTTTCCTTACATCTATATATTTTGTTATCAAAGGTAAAACATGATTCAAAACATACTAATTTTGCTAATTGCGTCATGTCATTGAAATAATTAACTAATTCTGGAGATTGTTGAAGCATGAATTCAATTAATGCTGCAAAACAAGATTATACTTATATTGAATACAATTTTCCAAAATCCATTACTGCCCGTTTCTTCATCTATTAACAAAAGGTCTTGTAACTCTTTCACTACTATACCTTGGTTCTGTGCAACCAATATACTGATCCCAAGATTGGTAGTAATATATTTGTGGAATTGCTTTTAAATTATATGTATTGGTCTTCTACTTGTTTCCTTTACTGGTCTTATTTCTTTACCAAGCTTGTGTGTTTTTCCAAAGGCAAAAAAACCTTGGTATCTCTGTTCATTTGTTCCGGCTTTATTTAAGGACCAGGGTTTATCCATAAGTAACGGGACTGGAGTCATAAAATAAAATTTATTATTAAAGATACATGTACTGTGAGTTAACAATCTTTAAGCGACGATCCTCCTGCATACACCGCTGCCAGTACTTTATCTAATCATCAAATTACCCCTGAAATTAGGCAACCGGAAGGCTGTTCAGGCATCTTGTCAAAGCAGCTTGGACTGCGTCAATCGTTTCGAAACGATATCCCTTGAGGCACCTTTTGATCCGAGGATATAAAAAGAAGTCGAGGGCTCTAAATCTGGACTGCAGGGTAATTGAAGAAGCGTTGAAATGTTGTGTTTGGCCAGTGTCCCTCTCACAATTAGTAAGGTGTGACTGGGTTCATCGTCGTGATGGAGCATCCAGGTATCGGCGATCTTTCTTAAAACGCGGCAGACCTAAAAAATCTAAGTAGCGGATTTGTTCAATTTAACGCAAAATTTATTGTCAAAACGCTGTTCAATAATTTTCTGCATCTTGAATCTCGACGGAAGCATAAACACACTTTCCCTTTAGGTACAATCTACGCACTCCAAAGGCTCGGACTCAATTGAGCCAGTTCTCGTAGCTTATGTGATGTCCCTTTCCACAGATTACACTCATAAAGACTGCTCTCCATCTCTTTCCATTCGTTGGCTAGCTTGTTTTTTCAAGTTTTTTTAAACTCTCCTACTAGTGTGTTTAGTAATTTTTCTATTAATAAATTTGCGTTTTGTTCGTTCATTATAATCCTCTAAACAGAGCGATCCCCAACCTTTTTATCGCCGCGGACAGGTCAACGTTTGATAATTTTGCCGCGGCCCACTGAGGGATTGATGTTGATTGTTTATATTCATTTTTTTGGTGTAACTGTATTTTATTTTAAAGGCATGTTTAAATACAATTAAATTAAATCAATTTAAAATATAATTGGATTTAACATTTTAACACACTAGAACACTAAATCAATGAGAACCCTGAGCTTGTTCCTTGCAACAAGACGGTTCCATCTGGGGGTAATAGGAGACAATGACACCCAAAGTGTTTTTCTTATGTCCAGTTTATTCCGTTGTTCTGTCATCCATTAAAAGTAAGACAAACCCGAGGAAATACACCATAGTAAATAAAATTGAAATAATTTAATGTTTCTTAGGCGGCCCGGTACCATTTGATCCACGGACCGGTACTGGTCCGCGGCCCAGAAATTGGGCACCACTGCTCTAAACCAATATTAAATAAAAACAATTTTTATTTAATATTTAATATACAGGTATATTAAATATTAAATAAAAATTGTTATCTGTGAAACTATGTATTGCTTATTAAGCCAGTATAATAAGTCCTGATAATAGAGAATGCATGTTTATAGACGAAAAATTTATAATTTATTTTTATTTAAACTTATGCGATAACTAGCTGTTACCCGCGTCTTCGCCCGCATAGATTTTGCAAGCAAACCCCATTTATATTCAGTATTTCAACAACCATAGAAATTGTTATAGGCTTTAACACCTACCGCTGAGAATAATGAGAATTGCCGAGAATCAAACGAACTGTTTTCAATTTGATCAATTTTCTGGAACGTTTACAATCATTCTATAATCGTTCTATAATGGAACCAATATGCAATAACAAATTCGAATTGAAAACGGTTCGAAAATTTTTAAAATCGAAATAGATAAAAATATTCATAACAATGTCTGAAATGTTATCAATTTAATACACCTAAGTACTCGATGAAGAGTAAACGTAGTTGAAAACAAAAAATCGCATCTAAAATAGTACAGTAGAAGACGTTTTTCCGGTTAAGTCTTAATTCTCTCCCTTTCCCCTCGCAAGGAGATTTCGAAAAAACTTTTTTTAGTGTGCATTCTCATGGCATACCCTACCACAATGCAGATAAAAACAAAAAATCGCATCTAGAATAGTACAGTAGAAGCTGCTCTTCCGGGTAAGCATTACTCCTCCCCCTCTCCCCCAGCGGGGGAATTTCGAAAAATTTCTTCTTAGCGTGCGTTTCCATGACGTACCCTAACTGTGTACCAAATTTCACCTCTTTAGGTTAAGCGGTTTGCTCTGACGATGATGAATCAGTGAGTGAGTGAGTCATTCAGTCAGTCAGTCAGGACAAGCAATTTTATATATTTAGATCATTGATATTTTGCAATCAAACGTACAAAAAAATTTCATCATTGTTAAATGAAAATGATGATTAATTTTTATGAAATCACTGGATATTCTACTATTGTTGGAAAAACTAAACAGGTCCAAAATATTTGTCTCAGCCCATTAAATTAATGTAGGTTAAAATAATTAATTCATCATGATATAATAATTAATTTAAATATCAATATACAGTAGAGCGTCGATTTTCCGAATCAATTGGAGACTGGGATTGTTCGTATAACTGATATTTCGAATAACCAATTTATGTACGAAAATATAGTTTAACGTATCCGATATTGGAATTTTTCTCCGTTGCGTATCGCTTCACGTTGAATTTTCGTCGATGCTAAGCCTAACGAACACTATTGTATCGTTAAAAATTTTTTATTTTGTACAAACAAAATAAATATATTGAAAAATATAAAAATAAAAAATTATACTTCAAATGTTAATTTAATATGAAAAACGTAAAATATTTGAGTAGCCCAAGACATAGCCAAAGATTGAAGCGCCACAGCACTGGCGAAAATTTAAATTTGCCGACTGGAATTCTTTCAGATGATTGACGTTTCGGATGATTGACTTTCGGAAAATCGACGCGCTACTGTACTTAGAAGCATTAATCTGATTTTCTTAGAATTTATTTATTACAGTGCATCTGGCTTATTCCTATTAAAATTGTATTTTCATGTTTGTACTCCTGAAAATACAATAATTAAGAAAAATCGATCTTACCTTGCTAAATTAATTCTCGCCTTTTGCCCACCGCTCATCATCACACCTCGTTCTCCTACAATTGTCAGATCTCCTTTAGGAAATAATCTAATATCCTACAATAAATAAATAAATAAATGCTAGACATTTAAATGAATTTTTTTACAAGTCACGTTTAGTTTGAATAAAATTTGCATTTCATACTCTATTAAGGCTAAAAATCACTTATAAAGATATTTATTGAAACGGTAGAAAATATAAATTAATAGCGAGGTTGAGGCTGAAGCTTTAAATGCGAAAATGTGTACGTCGGACATTCAGCAACGCTTTACTGAAAGCCTAGAAGTTTGACGATGGTGTTTGGAATGTCGAAAATGATTCCATTGACTATACAAACACCATTGCCAAACTTCTAGGCTTACAGGAAAGTGGCGCTGAACGTCCAAGTTACACGTTTTTGCGTTTAAAACTTTGGCCTCAACCTAGCTAACTACAAGTATTACAAAACGTCATCAACATACACTCGTTTCCATAGAAGTTAGCGCAGCAAAGAGTTGTCAAAATGGAATGATATTGTCTGTTGTGAATGCAATAGAGACATAAGTAATTGATTACAAAATGAAAGCAAAAAAAAAAAAAAACACTTATTGTAGGAAAACGTACAAACGAATAAATATTATAGTAAGTACACTGTTAGGCCACCTCTAGCGTGAATACACCCTGTGATGCAGGTAGGCATATAGGCATACGAATGCTGTGTGGTGTTTAGCGATATCTCGGCCATATTTCTTGCAAATGATTCTCTCATTTCGTCAAATTCCTGCACACTTTAATATTGCATTTTATTAGATTCCAGAGATGTTCAATCGGTGAGAAATCACAGGATCGTGCCTGCCAGAGAAGTGTGGAATATGGCAAAGGCAGTTCACTGACACTATTGCCGTGTGTGTGTTCGAAAATTTTACCGTTGGAAAATGGCTCTTGGGAGCCCTGTCCTAAGAGACAACAATGTGGCTGCAGGATGTCACAAATCTACTGCAGAGCTGTGGTGGTCTTTTGAATCGCTACTAGAAGTGGCTGGCTGTCGTGACACCACAGACTATCGTACCAGTTGTGGGGCAATGTGCTGCACAAAATGTACGCAGAATTAATTAAGTTAATTAAGGAATTCAACACATGGCCTGCAGACATAAACACGGCCATTGTCATTGCTGAAATTGAATCTAAATTTATTGCAGTAGAAGACCAGTAGAATGCTGTCAATTTCAATTCATGTCATAGCAGCCGTAATACCAAATTTTTTTTATCTTGGAGCCTCGAAATGGTACTGAGAGACGTAGGGTCCTGTAATAATGATGCCAGCCGTGTCCGGATGGTGAACAACAAACGGATCGGCCGCAAGTGTGTTTGTCTTCGGACTGGAGTCTTCTCAGACTAGTGGTCTGCGAAGGTGCCTTGAGCGTGGGTGCTGTGTGTACCTGCTTTCTCTTATTTACTGGCCCTAACAATTTTTCACAGTGTTTTTTGAACGGTTTGGATAACTGACTAATCGATAAGTTGACCATTTGGCTTATTTTTGCCACAATGATTTTTCCTTTTCAAACTGGGTTAGTTGTTCAAATAGTCTTCGAGTGTGACGTAAAAGCTGCTCTAGTGATACAGAGTTTTTTCAACAGGAGAAGTACAGACAGGATGCATTTGCACTTCTTCTATACGATAAAAAAAAGCACTTTAACGATCTCTGCTAGCATTACACAATGACTCATCATGCTATACGTGTAATACTTTTCATATGTTTTTCGGAGTTATCCGCATACCATATTTCGTATCGATATGACAACAACTTGGTAATCGAAATCTTATGGCAAGGAGTGTATTAAAAGCAAAATCTACTCAAAACTGCTCACTTTTCCACTTTAACGAAGTGTCCGCTCATAATGAAATGAACAGAAAATTTGCTATTACAGTAATTTCAAAATACTGTACATGGCCAGTTATTAATTAATCGATATATAAGTTTTTCGTTAATTATGCATAATTAGGATAGAAATCGAAAATATATAGCGAAGAATTGCCGAAATTATTTGGCTATACTTTTTTCAGTAAGTAATTAAGCTTGCAATTCTATATTTAATTTTCGTTTTGCTATTAATAATTTTTACTCAGAAGAACAAAGTGAGCATTTCTCTCACGTTCTTTATGCGAACGTACAATGGAGGTGGCCCAATTGAGAAGATAAAGGTAGATTGAATGTAGTCCTTTCATCAGAAATACTTTAGATTCTTCATTTTGACTCGCATTTGCGTCAATCGAAGCGCGAACTTGTAATTTATCCTGTAAGTATTCCAGCATGCATAAGATGGATATGAAAAAGTTAAGTTTGATTTTATTCTAATTGTGATAATTGACTTAAAAAAGAAACTTAGCCAAAAGACAAAATATAAATTTTAACATAAAAGAACAAAGTTCCAAGACAGCCCACATTGCAAAGTTCAATATCTTTGCATTCTAAAGCAGAATGTTTGCCAAGTTTTTAATAATATACCTCATTTCCTTTATTTCTATCTGTACTCCTATTTCCTTTATTCCAGGACTGTGAGGTCGGAGTCGTAGAGTTTTGGTATTTTATCCGGAGTCAGAGTCGGAGTCGGTATCTTCAAAAAATCCGCTGACTCTGACTCCTTTTTACTTCCCAACTTATGTATATAAAACGGAAAAGTATTGGAATTGTGTCAAATTTGACTGACCAAGTTTTTTTTATTTATATTTATTTATTTATTTATTTTTGCAAATCTACACATTTGATAACCTTCTCGAACCCCTCAAAAAGTCAATAAAAATTCAAAAAAAAATTCGCGTGAGTGTATGTGTTGGTGTCTAATTTGCTTAACTTCTTTATTTTCTATTCTGAGATATTAATTAAACAGTATTTCAAAATAGATAAAGTTTAAGAAACGAAATGTTGCACTTTTTTTTGTAAAAGTTGGCAGTTAATGAGACACTCTCTTCCCGCTCAAAGAGCATAAGAGAGTTACAAGAGTGTATGTATATTTGGTTTCAAGAATGGCTCAACAGTGCATAGGGAGGCTGCCCATTTGGTAGTCAGTGGGACAATAGCATGTAATATTAATATACCGAGAAGGAATAGAGAAGTAGAAGTATCATTAAGCCTCTGAGCATTCCGTGTACAAAAAGCCTATTATACTAAACAAAATAAAAAATAGGGCTGAAGCTGAACTTATATGCAAGAATAATTACTAAATTATTATTATTATTTTATTTATTTATTTATTTTACTGTTTTGGTAATTTTACTATTATTATTATTTATTTTTANAATTAAAAATTTATATATGTATATATAAGTAACTTAAATAAATATAAATTGTAATAAATTATAAATAGACGACAGCAGTAGCCGGTAGTGGGTAGGTGCAGATCTAGAGAACAGAGTGCATTAAATTATACAAAGTGCATTAGGACAGGAGAAGGGTATTTATCTAGTTTGGTCCATATTTATTGAAGCTTTCTATGATGCAACGTTTGAAGATCTTTAGATCGTCTTCGTTCTGTGTGAGTTCGCTTAGTGCCACGGGCCAGGTAATCAATTTGTTTGTGAAGTGCGTGATGAGTTGCTTCCGCCAAGGGTCGAGAAGAGCACAATCATATATTATGTGTTCTACAGTGTCGGGTACATCTCCACAGTTACAGTTCGGTTGATTTATAATTTTGAATCTAGTTAGATAATTATTGAATTTGCCATGTTCTGTAAGTATTTGTGTTAGCCGAAAATCGTGGGTTATAATTTTACAGTTGTGTCTACTTTCTAAATTCGGGAAAAACTTGTGTGTAATCTGTGCTTTATTATCTTCATGCCAACGAGTTTGCCATGTCCTGATCGACCAAAGCTGGAGATGTAAACGAACGAATGCCACAGGTATGTCACTGTATTTAATTGTGTCATTTAGATAAGCAAGTGTGGCAAGTAAATCGGCAAGCTCATTGCCACCACAACCTGAATTGCTTTTTATCCAAGAGATTTGTGTGTTCTGTTTAGTGTAACTTGCTTTGAAGAGTAGGTAAGTATTATAGTATAGTTTACTGCTAACTTTAGGTGTGCTCATGATTTTAATTGATACATCAGAGTCTGTAATATGAGTGTGTCATTATATTTATATTTTAGAATGTACCTTAGTGCATGATTGATGGCTAATATTTCTGCATGTGTTATTGTGCAGTGATTTTCTAGCTCAAATGTTGAACATTGGAGTACTTTATTATCCTTGATGTTACAGAAACCAGCATTTTTTGATTTGGAGCTATCAGTGTAAATGATGGAGCATTTGTTAGAATTGTATTTGACTACTGCTTGTGCGTGTGTGTATGACGGGTGATGGAGGGCACGGAAATCGGATGTGAAGTCTATTTCATAATGTTTTGTATTTATGACTGGTCTGTTCGTTTTTATTGTGTTGTTTAATTCCATTTTACTTTTTATAAGAATGTCTATAGGAATTTTTATTGGCTATTACCAACGTTGACTCTCTTGAAATTGTTCTGTATCCTTTAATCATTTTAATGCAGATTTTCCTTTGAAATTTTAATAATTTTTCACGAAGATATTTGCGATTTAGCGCATAACCCCACACCTGGCATGCGTATGTTAGTTATGGGAGGAGGACACCTTCATAGATAGTGTCTATTGTGTTTGAATTTAAACCCCAACGTAAGGTAGCGACTCTGTGTAGCATTAGCAGCATCCGCTCAGCTTTTTGTAATATTGTATCTATATGATTTTTCCAAGTGAGTTTTGAGTCGAGAGTGCAACCCAAGTATTTAATATTTTCATGATATTTTAAATATTTACCTTGTAGTCTTAACATAGGCTTTTTGTGTTTACCCGCTTTGTGTATTAGCATTAACTTAGTTTTATCTGTATTAAATGTAATTTTGCACTCTTCGCCCCAGTTTTCAATTTTACGAAGGATTGATTTTGCTTTGTTTTCTAGCGCTTTAATGTTATCAGCAACGACTGTTACGAGAGAGTCATCAGCAAAGCAAAACAGTTCGCAATGTGCTGGTAGTTTGATATCGAATATTGTATTCATTAGGATGTT